AGAGAGAGAGAGAGAGAGAGAGAGAGAGAGAGAGAGAGAGAGAGAGAGAGAGAGGCATACTAGCAGATACAAAGAGGAAGACAGTAAGGCCCCAGTGACTATGGTCGGGATAACCTGCTGCAGGCTGGCAATCATGAGCATTTCCGAGTCGCCTCACACACCCATACACACCTACAAAGCCAATTTCGAGGAAGGTTAATTTCTCCTTCCTCGTGAAGTTTTTCTCTAAGTACTAGTCAATCTTTCTCCGTGTACCAAATGAAGGAACAAAACTGCTACAGATGCATGGGTGAACATCTGTGGATCTAGGGCTGCAACTCTCTTTTCTCTCTACCTGTGCAGGCCTTTCACCTCTCGATTGCCCACCACCTTTTGGCACTCTAACAAAAAATTGGCGTTCCCTCCCCCTGCTCCTACCTGTTAGCTGCCCTGAGTGATCTGTGGTCTGGAACTGATCCTGGACCGATGGATCATTTGTCCTCTTAAGATCCATTGGCGATTGTTCCCAAAAGAATCCGTGATTTGAAGTTTCGTGTTGCTTCTCCTATTGGTCGGCAGAGCTGAATTTGAACTCGTTCATGGTCGTAAACAGATCAAAAGGATCATTCGTCATCATGATGTCCTGCTCTCCTTCTCCAGCTGTGTATATTGCATCCACATCGACAACAGCATTCGACACGACTGTAAGGTCGTCACTCCGATTTGCAGGATCGCTCTCGGCTACGTCAGCTTGTGGCACGGGCTCGACCACGGGATTGACAGTGCCAGAGGAAGACTCCTGTATTGTTGCCGGGCGGAGTGTAGGATCCATATCACCACGAAGAAGTAGCGGTCTCGGCGTATCTGGTGCCTTCTCCGGTGCGCTGCTCTCGGTTTGGTATCCTGTGCCATCAGGGGGAATAGCCTTCTGATCTTCGCCACCCTTGGGAGAAGATTGAATCTCTGTCGCATTGTCGCTGCTTGCATCTGATGCTGATGCAGGCCCAGGAGGAGTCGAAGCAGACATAGGCTGATTACCTGTTTCTGACATTGCTGCGGACTGGGAGTTGCTCGCGCCTTCACCTTCGCTTTTGATATCCAAATCGACATCAGCAGAGCACGGCATAATCAATGCGCACCCTCCTCCTCCCCCTCCTCCCCCTCCACCCCCTCCCGCTGCTGCTTCCGCTGTTGCTGCTGCTGCTGCTGCTGCTGCTGCTGCTGCTGCTACTACTACTTCCTTGGGTATCTCCGGCTGGCATTCCATACATACAAGGGAGGTGTTGTTGGCCTCCTGCTGGAGGTTTCCTGCCTGTGAGAGGGTCTGGGATGGCACCGTACACATTGAACCACTGCACATGGCTGTCGATGATGATGTCAGCCGTGCCCCGAGTTGATCTGCTGCCATGTCGATGACGGCTGCCGACGTTAGGGTTGTGGTATTGAAGGTTGGGTTGATGTGGTTGTTTGCATCTGTCAGGTAGAGTCCTGCAAAGGGGCCAGGCCCAGGAGAGCTGCTATGTCCTCGGATTCCAGTACCTGCAGCTGCGGCCATGCTGTCAATTGCAAACTCTAATGGCTCCTTCTTGCACGGAAGATTGAGCGCTTCACTGACCCCAATCCGTGTTCCTTGCAAATCCATATGATGAGATACTGAACAGGGCAGACTGGAGCAGCCCCCCGCTCCTCCCCCAAGACTGGCACTGCTGGCTCCGCCACTGTGTCCATGGAACCCTTCATCATCGATTGAAAACAATGTACTGCGGCTTGCCGGATGATCAGCTGTCGTTTTCAAATTCATATGCTGACTGCCAAGTGTTGCAAGGAAATGTGGCGGCGTGACGCTTAGCCAATTCATGCCTGCTGATCCATCACGGTGATGAAGTCCTGTCTGGAGCGATGCCATAGGGTGCAACAGGTCATTCCCATGAAGCAGTGACGGTGGGCGTTGATGGGTATCTATACCCAGGCCCATTAACTCGCAACTCACAAGACCATGGTCTGCTGCAAGGAGGTATTCGGAGACTTTGGAAGCAGAAGCTGTAGGAGAGTACGCCTGTGAGAGAATCTGATGGGAGTGGTGAATTCCCTGTGGTGCTATGATTGCCGGCATCTGTGAGGAGACGAAGGCGTTGCAATCTGACGTGGCGCTCATGCAAGGTGCACCTATCCAGTTCATGCTGATGCATCCTCGCGGCAGCAACCCAGCCGCGCTCACCCCGCCGCTGATCTGCCCTATTCTCCGTTTCCGCCCATGATCGAGTGTAACTTCCCCCCCTCCCCCTAACAGCCCCCCACCTGCTGCTCCCGCCATCAGGGAGGCATGGCTGGACATCAATGCAGCATGGGACTGATTATTCAGCGCACTCGCCACTGTAGAGGGATGACAGTGATGAATAAGCCGTGAACCGGAGCATAGACCACCACCTGCCATCGTTGTTCCTATTCGGGATGCTGCGCATAGACTCCCACCTCCTGCCGGTTTCACTAGGCATTGTGGATCCGTCAAAGCCCCCTGTGCAAGCTGGATAGGAACCAGATGGCAGTTACTGGATGGGAAAGAGGCACAACTGTTGTTGGCTATAGGGCCAAGAGGCATGGAGAATCCTGGAGGAGCGGCTCCAGACGACATCAGATAATCCGTTTGAAAGTCATGGAGAGTGGGAAGCACTGCAGCTGCAGCAGCTTGATCGCTTGCAGCACTCTCGTTGGCGCTCACGTCATCACTGCACAGCACGGCGTTGCTCCCGGTGCTGGTAGAAAAGGTTGTGCTAGAATTCTGTCCTCCTCCTCCGTTAAATCCATCTGGTGGGAGAGCCGTCAGCACCGTTCCTGATCCGTTTGCTGTCCCAGTCGATCCGCCACTCGTCAGACTCTGTGGTCGGCTGCAACTCTCCGTGTTGTTGCCGCAGATACCACCATTTGCTGAACCGCCTCTCCTCTTCCACTTCTTTCGATTGCTGTACCACCAATTTTTCACCTCGTTATCCGTTCGCCCCTCCAGTTTCGTGGCGATCACGGACCATTTGTTTCCGACACGCGAGTGCTGCTCAATGATAACTTCCATCTCTTGCTCGGTGAGGGGCTCTTTCTTCAGTCCTGGCTTAAGATAGTTGAACCATCGCAGTCGACAGCTCTTTCCATCCCTATGTAACACATGACCAGTCTTCTCTCCAACTCGGTTCCATTCTTTCGCCCCATTGCTTCGTACAAACTCGAGGAGGATGGCGTCTTCCTCCGGCTCCCACCGCCCCTTCTTTATCTTTGTCAGGCATTGTGCACTCTGCTGCACTTCCGACATGATCTGATAGACAATCTCCAGAGTGACAGCCACTGTAACCGGCTTACAAATGGGTGATACCTCTGGCAAATGCCCCCCCTCCCCTCCAAGGCTGTAAAAGGGGGAATGTGCCCCCTCCAAGGCCGTAAAAGGGGTAATGGCCCCCCTCTGACGCTGATAGATCACGCTCCACTTACCCAAACCACCTCTTTCAACAGGTGATGATACCTGTTCCTCCGTAAAATCCAGGAGAATAGGAGGAGGCTCTTTGACTCCAAGCAGCCGTAGTCACTTGAGGGCATAATTATCGCACTAGGACTTTCTGAAACGCGTCTGACCACAATTCCTGCCAGATTCTATCCCAAAAGGCCGAGTATGGCCTAAGCCACCACACCCGTAACCCTTATATGAAGAGCCTCCTCATTTTCCAATTTGAAAGTAACAGCCCCCCCGTTTCCCAATGGACCCCCACCTCAGCAGACCCCTCGTATGCCAATTAACAAACCCCTCAGAAGCCCTCTCATTTGCCAATGAACAACCCCCTCACTAACACCCTCGTTTGCCAATGAACAAACCCCTCAGTAGCCCCGTCAGTCATTTGCCAACCGGAACCCCCTGCTCCCCCCCCCCCCCCCCCCCCCCCCCCCCCCCCGCTCTCCCCCGCGTCAGTTTCTTAACCGACATGCGCCTATAACAACGCACAAAAGAAGCCCAGCCCGAGGGAGCTAGAGTCTTCTAGACACATCAACCCCATCAGCTGCACTCATTCGTCACCAGCCGCTCAACGCAGGAGAGGCTCAGACTTGCAAGAACCATTATGCCCTTCTTCCATTTCCATGGGGACCATGCCTGTCCTCCTTTTGTTTCCCAATGGGATCAGCACCTCTCCTCTCTTCAGCTCCCAGTGGGACCACGCCTCTTTTTGTTTCCCTGTGGGAACACGTCTCTCTTTGGTTCCCGAAGGGTTCCCCTTGGGACGACTCAGAATCACAGAGTCTGACCGAGGGGTACAACAGCAAATTGAACAGTCATGCTGAGATTCAATAGGTACCCGGGAACCAGCACCTTCCCTCTCTTCAGATCCCAGTGGGACCACGCCTCTTTTCGGTTCACACGTCTCCCTTTGGTTGCCGAAGGGTTCCCCTTGGGGCCAGTCTGAGTCACAGATTCTAACTGATGCGTACGACAGCAACTTAAACAGCCATGCTGAGATTCAATATGTACCCGGGAACCAACACCTTAACTCTCTTTCAGCTCCCGGTGGGACCACGCCTCTTTTTGGTTCCCTGTGGGAACACCCCTCTCTTTGGTTTCCGAAGGGTTCCCCGTGGGTCCGCCCTGAGTCACAGACTCTGACTGATGGGTACCACAACAAGTTGAACCGCCATGCTGAGATTCAATGGGTAGCAGAGATAGGCTCAGGTAACAATTGGATCAGGACTCAGGAGGGAATTAGCTGCTGAGTCGTCGAGAACACTGCAGCAAGACGAGCACATCCGTGAGCTGCAATTGTTGGCTACTTTCCAAATGAACCTGCATGCATAGCTTTGAGAATGCAGAAGCAATCAGAACTCCTGAAACTTTGGTGAGAAAAACAAGCTCAAAAAAAAAGAAAAAAGGACAGCAGGCTGAGCAGGCACCGCCTTTTGCTTTTCGCCCGCCTTCTACCACTGCTGCACCAGCGAGCTTCAATTGTCGGCAACCTTCCACACAAACCTACGTAACTTTGAGAATGCAGCAGCAATCAGAACTCCTGAAACTTTGGTGAGAAAAAAACTAAGCTAAAAATAGATTAAGAAAAAAGAAAGGACAGCAGGCACCACCTTTTTTGCTTTTGGCCTTCTGAAGCAGTAGCCACCTGACAAGTCAAAAAGCAGCCAACAATGTACACTTCAAAATTCAAACCACGAACTTCAAGCCTTCAAGGTGATCTGGAACAGGGCTGAGAGGGTTGATTGTTTTTTCATAAAAGTGGTGTTAAAGTAAATAGATTGTGATTTAGTGATCAATGACTGCATGGGTGACAAAAGGCGACCAGTTACATTGCTTTCTCATAATGTTATGTGATTTTTTAAATCATTTCCATAAGTATCTGGTGGCAGTTCACATGAGCCTACATTGACGAAGCTACCTTCCAATGCTACCGTCTTCCCCCGAACACAACGCACCCTTATTTTGGCTGTATCTGGCCGGAGTTATAGCTTGTATTCATTCATTTTAGGTCGCGTTGTGTTCGGGGGAAGACGGTAGCGAGCATGCAACTGCACCTTTTCAAAGGGGCCTGCCAGGTTCGCTACCGGCGCAGGCCTGAATCGGAAAGCTCTTACCGAGACGTACTCTACTTCAGGTGAACTGGCCGAAGTATGCCGGAAAAGGCCAAACACAGAGCGGCGGGCCATACCAAAGCATCCCACTTGGGCCTCGGCACTCGCAATGCTTCGGCAATTGGGATGCAGTCCGTGTCTTGCAAACAGGGGAGGGATACACGTATGGTGTGGAACCCATAGATTCTTGTGAAAATGAAAAAAATAATACATTCTTGTGAAAATGAAAACAAAATGGAGAACTTGGAGAAGGACAAAAAGTAGAGTAACAAAACAGACAAAGAAAAATTAAACAGGTGGGTGCCAAGACGTCCAACAGCCTTTTGATGTCCTCTCGTTGCCTCGGTGTGTGTGTGTGTGTAGGAGGGGGGGGGGGGTGTTGTCTAAGAACCCCAAACTCTCTCCTCATTCCATCCACAAATCATCCACAAACCATCCATAAAACAGAGAAAGTATAAAGGCAGTACAATAGAAAATGCAAGGTTGGCCACATGTGTGAGCGAGCGAGAGAGAGAGGTCGCAGGCAACTGGGCAGGAGCTAGTGCACTTTCGCAAAGGGCCCTTTTCCTTTCTTCCCCCCCCCCCCACTCTTAAGCACCATGTGTTTTTTGTTTTCCTTTCTCTATTACTTGGGTCCTTGTATTCCTTAGGTTCCCCCCTTGTCGCTTATTGTTTTGGGAAAATTTGGGTCGCGCCCCTGAAAGTTGAATTAATTTGTGTCACGCCCCTCTGGCTGCCGACTTACCCTGTCGCGCCCCTCTGACGACAATTCAAGTTTGCAATAAACCCCTGCTGTAGGTTGGGCCTGAAATATGTTCGTTATGCCCCTACCGGTACCGGTTCCAACTTTTTAGTATGCCCATATCGGATAGGCGAGGGACCAGTGCAACGGGACTGGCGGTCCAGAAAGGGCGTCCCAAAAAGTTGAGAGACGGTTAATGGGGGCCCAAATATTCACCGTTTTCGTTGGCAATTGCGGTGCGAATTTCATCAAAATTTTTAAAAACAAACGATATGAGACCATAGTGCAAACATCAAAAAAGGAAACAGGCCAAAAAGAACGAAAAAAAAAAACAAAAAAACACTATGAAGCCCTAACACAAACCACATGTGTGTATATCGAAGAGAGAACGGGTTAAGCTGGACAAGGACCCCCCCAAGGTCCGAACCAAGCTCGAACCCGTGACCTTGTAACATATACTCATATGACTCTACCATGTGAACGACTAGTGGAAATGGCACGAACGTGTGATATGCCAGACTGGGGAGATCAACAGAACACCCAAGACCAACAACCCCAAGCAACCCATGTGAAACCCAGAACCAACATACAACACCATGAACAACCCTTGGGTGGTGCGCAGGGAGTGTCTGTAATAGTACCATGCGTCAGCCCTAGGGAGTGTATGTCCAGCCTTGCGTCAATCTAACGCCCTGCCCGTGTCCATGCGCAAGGTTGCAATTGAGTTTTGAACCCGCAACCTCATACCACAATGCGCATTTCCAACAGGTGCTCTAACCACTGAGCCACATCAACTGGACGAGGAATCCCCAATTCCACACGTGGTTAACGGGGGACCCCAAGTTTCAGCTCCTGAGTAACAGGTCCAAAACTGAAATTAGGGTTTGGGGGTTAAATTTTATGTTTTTTTTTTTTTTTTTTTTCTTGCCTGTTTTTGTCTGACTTCAAGGTTGATGTGTACCAAATTTGGTCTCATTTGGAGCATTGGAATTTCCTCTGATAACGTGATAAGACCATTTCCAGAAACGCTGAAAATTCTGAAAATTCGCTGAATCCAAAATGTCATTCAAGTGCACTTTTGCCTTACTGTTTCACCCTGTTTTTATTTATTTTTTTCGGTTTTTTTTAATGATTTGTGAATATGGTGTGCACTCTATGTAATGATGCAATTTTTTGGTTAAAAAGGGCTTCTGGTTTTCCCCAGAGTCTCTTGGGGCCTGTAGTAGATTGTCTGGGCCTGGCGTCCGAAGTTCCCGTTCGACAAGGCTCGTCCGATTCCGCTTCCACCAGGGCTGCACAACCTATCAGCCCTGGTGCCTATCACTGCTGTTCGGTCCAAGTTAACTGCCCATTGGTAGGGTAATGGTCCTGAGTGCTGGTCACACTGAGGTAGGATAGTGGGATAGGGGGTGCGCTAGGAGTATTGATGTGAGGATAAGATGGGAGGTGGTCTCATATTCCAGGACACCCATGACCTACTGCTCCAGGTGATCACTGTGTACACAGTGACTGGCCTCTACAACACCATGTTCTTGAAAAAAAAAAAAAAAAAAAAAAAAAAAGAATTGGGGATTCCTATCCGAAGAGCAATTTTGTTAAAATGAACCTTTTAAATTTTTCGATGGAAATTGAAACCAACTTATTTCAAGTTATTTGCCCCCCCAAAAATCAAATTTTTAGCTCCCGAGGGTCCAGCGTTTCACACCCTGGATGTGTTTGGAATTATATCCAGATACATCAGGAATTCCGACATTTTCAGAATGTCGAACCCTCAGGAGCTAAATATTTGACATTTCTAGTGCCAACTAAGTCGGTTTCAACTTTGTTAAAAAAATATGAAATGTCCATTTCAACAAAAAGACTGCTTTTGATCCAGTCTCAATTAAATGTCAGGATAGCCCTTTGATGTGCCTTTTGGGTAGAATCAATTGTGACTTCATGAACAAGGTTATTCAAACTTATATTTTAAGATGACACTATCAATTCTCAACGGGTTGTTGTATGTGTGATTAGATTTAGGGATGAATAGCTTATAGTGGAGGTGTTAGTGCAATGCTGGGAATGACATTGCAGGTGCAACGAACATATTGTGCGAAGCAGATCACGCCTTACCGACGGCTCGTCAGTGGTTTCCTTTTGTGTCATTTTGTTTGTCATATGCGTGGTTGGGTTTGTTGCGTGCAGGTATCTTGGGAGGGAAT